ACACACACACACACACACACACACACACACACACACACACACACACACACCTAACCACAGCTCCGAGAGGGCTGGGAGGAAAAGGAGGATTGTCATAGCATTGCCTTATTTAGCACTGGTGGTGATTGACGTCTCCCTCCAGCCAGTGATATGCTGACTATGCCCTCCTGGCTGTGCTCATGTTAACACTGCATTACATTAATGCTCAAAAGTCACTGAAGCTGCGGCACGTCCCTGAGCCAGCGGGCTGCTCTACATTTCACTCTCGTGCATGGCTGATATTCCTCTCTGTCAAACCCTGGGGATAAATGTCTGTGAGTCCAAGGGCAACGAGAACAATGCTACCTCTGTGCTGCTCTGCAACCAGGGCCGTGTGCCTTCTCCCTCAGTCCATCACACTCTGCAGGTTTGTCCCCTTGGTGTGGGAAACCAGCAGTCAGCAGCTCAAGTGTCAGCTGTTGGTCACAGGATTTCATCTTTCATTTGAAATTAAAAATTCAGTTGTGCAGAAAGTGAAACATTGTAATGACGTTACAGTCTTACAGCCTTGCACGCTCCCTCGACCTCTGGATAAACTAAGGCTTCAGTCACATGGGCCTAGAGACGAGTTGGTGACCCCTGGCAATCTCCAGTCGCTAAGGAAAAATATGTATTCCCCAAGTAGGTGATGACTTGTTGCTGCCCCTGCGTGAAACTGCCTGCAAAGAGGGCTTTGTTTGCACCAAATCTTCATTGCAGTTGCTTCAGTTGCTATCAGATTGCCATGGTTGCCGGTTTACAACACTTGCTAGCTAACCATTGAACGGTTAGCTAACCTAATGAATATTTCTTAAACTTTGTTTTGTATTTGTAGGTTTATACATCATGCTAACACGTGTTAAAGATTACAACATTTTTGCAAAGCTGGGCTCGTGTGATTTCATCGATTCTGGACTCTGTGTAGCAGCCGCCGTCGTGTTTCCTGGAGCCACACTTACTGCTGACTTAAGCTTCACACGTGTTCTCAGTGGAAGTCGCTCTTTGCTCTTCACCTGCTAGCTTAAGCTAAATCTTTATTAAGCCTGTCCAAAGGTCCCACACGTTACACTCCGATGAGTCATGCTTCATCTCATCACATTTCCATCTTCCACGTCCCCATCCTAAACAATTTGCATCATGTGCTTTAATGCATATACGACCAAGCAGCAGGGAGGAGGTTAAAGGTCCGAGCTGGTGATTCTGTCGAGATGCAGAGGAGAGCTGTGTCATGAAAATCCCATCTGAAGAGAGAAGCCGATATATGATTCTCTTAATCTGATTGCATTATGTGTAATTCATGGCTTCAGTTCTTGCCCTGTCTGTGTTTATTTATGTTGAATGGCGTTTATGTAACGTGTGCATCGTTTTCAGCGAGGCTGACTGACTGCTGATCACTACAAAGATGCTGTTTCACAGCGACTTCTTATGTAACCGTGTGGTCTCTCTCTCTTTCTGCAGGCTCTGCTGGAGGCAAATGCATGCTGCAGACGCCTTTTGGGCTTCAAATCAGCAAACGGCACTGGAATGACGCACCCCTGGCTAAAAGGTCCGTGTGTGTTTGAGCGTCTTTGTACGATACGCTTCTTGTAATCATGTCTCCAGTTCATTAAACACCAGGATGAAAATGCATTTCATGGTTCAACCTGACGTGTGTTACGTCTTTGTGCTTCTCCTCTCTGGACCAAGATGTTTACCTGGCTGTGGAACGAAAAGAATGTGTGTGTGGGCGAACAGCGTGATCCCACCTGTTGTGAAACTGTGTGTATGTGTTCCCGTGGCCCTTACACAGCATGCCACTCCCTCACACTGTGAACTTTGCCTCCTTACCACACTGCGTGGCCTTTAGAGCTTAGTTTTGGGTGTGTGTGTTTGCCATCATGCATCACGTGAGCTGGACAGGAAGATGAGAATGTTGAGAGATAAATTGAAGGAGATGAGTGACAGGAGGAAATGAGGAGCATCAAATCTATTGTGTTGAGGGCTTGGTTTAGTGGGTGTTTACTCTGATCAGAACAGATAAAGTGAAAGAAAGGAAGTACATCAAAGTGTTTGAAGCTTTAAAATTTATCTTGAGCTGTTGGTGAAGTGACATATATACTAGCTGGGTATGTAGGTCCTTTCTGCAGTAAAACATAGGTGTGGAGTTTCTTGCAAACTGAAACAGAGCTCACACAGTTGGCACTATTCACACGTCCTCAGTGCCACACATTTATTTTCTCGCACAGTGAAAAGAACAAATTCATACGTGGTAACGTCGACACTGACAAGACAGAGCAGGCAGCGTGTTGCAAAAGCAGCAGCGAGTGATCCTCACCAGCCAGGAGAAAAGCACAAATATCTCATCTGTTGCACTGCAGTTTGTTCCCCTGCATGCTGGTCGCAGTATATCACAGCTGAGAGCTGTTTCAGATTTGTGGTTAAACATATAGAGGGTTTCAATCACGCCATCTGATCCCCGTGTCGACTTTGTTCCTGTGGCATCACCAGAGTGTTTGTCCAGAATCAACACTGGAGCTGATGTCATCTGTTAGCATTAGCCAGGAAGTTAGCTAATGCTCTTAAAACATCACAAGAAAACCAGCTGGAGTAACCTAAATTTGGCTAACATGAAACCCAGGATTATAATATATTAGTTATAGCTCATAGATTAATAAAGAAAACACCTGAAAGTCTCATTATTTGTTCCAGAAGAGACTTTTATATCAACAAAGGTTTCCTACAAATTCCAACGCTATGACGTCACAACGTTACAGTGTTGATCGTGGACCAGCGTTATTATGGTGATTATTAGGAACAACACAAATATGCATATATATTAGATACACAGTTTTAAACATGCTCCAAATCATCTATCAACTATTCTTGATGCATTCCACAGCTCACTCCATCTGAATAATCTGGCAAGTGCAAGCTGGTGTTTCATGGCTTAATCCTAGAGATTATATTTGTATAATGAGAGACAGCATTTAGAACTGCCACAAAATATATAGTCCATCTATTGTAATATACCCTTTCACCACAGGGTTGAGCCTTTCAGGTAGTTTCAGGTGTAAACGTTAAGGCGCTGACTCTGCTAACAGTGACAGTAAGGATGATAAACGCTATATGAGGCTGATGCTAATGCTAAATTAGCACATTGAACAGAAGCAACCTGGGCTGACAGTCAAGTCAAGTCAAGTCAAGTTTATTTATAGAGCACATTTAAAAACAACCAAGGCTGACCAAAGTGCTGTACAGTAAATACAGATAAAAATACAATAGAACACAATTTCGTAGTAACACCTCGCTGATAAAAATAAAATAAAAATAAATAAAACAAATAAATTAAAC